TCCAGGGACTGGTCCCTCCTGCTATGTCTGAAGCAGGAGAGATGACGTACTGCCATCCTGGCCCCTAATGAGAACTTTGGCTGTTCTCTTTCCAACACAGAATTTTTGGTTCTTCAAGCAGTCCATGGTGCTTTTAAATAATTCTTCAACACCATAGCGCAAATGTATCCATTCTTTGACAGTTTTCCTTATTCGCTGTCCAACTTTCGCACGCATATGAGGCTATGGAAAATACCATGGCTTGGGTCAAGCGCACCTTAGTCCTCACACTGACATCTTTGCCCTTGAACACTTTAGAGAGGTCTTGTGCAGCAACTTGCCTAGTGTGGTACGTTGTTTGATTATGTGATTGCTGCTTCCGTGATATCTTAGTTGTTTTTAATTTCCCATCTGATAAATCGATCATCTGGGCCCTATCTGAATCTGGTTCTGATGCTTCTCAGAAATGTGGTTTTTCTTCTCCTTTGACACGCCTTGTAAGTTTTGGTTTAAAATCAGACACCTTGTATAGGATAATAGAATCTGAGTTAGACAGACTTATGGTGTCAAGTTTTATGTTAATCTGATTAGATAATGGGTTTTAATGTTTGTTGTAGCTATAGCTACCAAAGGCTTCATATTTCTCTAGTACTTTTCTTTGTACCTTCTCTCTTTTCTTGGGGCTTCCCTAAGTACCCCTCCTCAGAGAGAGTCTGTGGCTTGAAGCGCTCTCTTTTGTTATATGGAAGCCTTGGAGAATCTGCCTTTGTTAGGCAGTAGTATTATCCCACTGTTCCTGACAGAGCCGCAAGGAGAGCTCAGATGTTTACCATGAGGACTTGGTGGGGTTCCTAGAAGTAAAACCCATGAAAATGTGGGGATCCCCCTAAAACTACAGCTCTGGGAGTTTCTCATTCTCATATAGTCCACACTTGGTCTTAAGCAATTTGCAGAAACTACTCTGAAATGTTCTTGCTAGTTTATGACTCCAACTACTCTGCTTCAGGTAAGCAGATGTTGGCTATGACTCTGGATTCCCCTGACTCTTCAGATTTTAGGGCGGTAGTTGTATCTGATGAGTCCAAGAAAGGTGGTTGGTTTTCAGTTGGCCCGGTTTTTTCTGGTTGTAAGGATGAGCCTTCCACAGTCCTCACATGTTGGAGCTAAGACTGAGAATCTGCTGAACTGTCTGTTTTGGTTAGGTCTCTTAGCAGCGCTCTCTTTCAGCTGCTCTGATGGTCTCTCTGTCTTTACTAGGGAGTTGAGCTTATTGACAGACTTTGCTTGGTATTTTCTGTGTGTCTTGCTTTTTAAACTGTGTGCTTCTTGTCTTTGTTGTTGTTGTTATTTTAGATTTTGTTCCCCCCCCCCCCCCCCGGACCCTGCCAGCTTGAAACGTACACATTCTTTTGTGATTTCTTTCTTATTGTTGTTAAGTGCCGTCGAGTCGGTTCCGACCCATAGCGACCCTGTACAGGGTTTCCGAGGGTGTAAATCTTTACGGGAGTAGAAAGCCTCATCTTTCTCCCGCGGAGCGGCTGGTAGTTTCGAACCGCTGACCTTAAGGTTCGCAGCCCGATTCGTAACCACTACGCTACCAGAGCTCCTTTCTTATAGCAAGGCCAAAATATATGTGGTCCTTTTTGCCCGTTTATCATCTCTGAGAGAAATACTGAACTGAGCCAGCGGAGTGCAGTCAGGCATTGTGATTTGCTCGCTGACTGTGGTTAGGACCCCTTGTCTGAGTATTCAGCACCGAACACCTGGCATTGGAGCGTCCGAGGGCGCTGTGGACTCTGCTCAGTACTTTGTTCTCCTGCCAGTTGCTTCTCAGTGTGAAAGTGGAGGACAGTATGAAATGACTGTTACTTGAAACTTTGTTGGATTTGTATATCAACAGTGAAACTGTGCTCTAATTCAGTTGCATTGTCCACTTGAGAAGCTTACTTGATGGCTCAACCATTGGTGAAGTTAGGCAATATGATTCAAGAGCGGCCTCGTTAAGGAGACCCACAAGATCTGTGTAGTCATTCATAAAAACACAACGTGTTGTTCCTGACCCCTCCTGATTTTTGCTTTTTATCTCTACCACTAATCCTTGTTTTTAGTCGATGGACTTCTGAAGACGTGTATATGTAGACTCTGTGGAATTGTGTTTCCAGTATCCCTGTAGACCGCCTCTGCCCCACGCAGTCCATGTTCCTTGAGTTCTGGACGCTACACTCTGTTCAGCAAACATTTATTAAACATCAGTATGTGCCAGGCGCTACGCTGCATGCTAGGAAAGAAAGAAGAATTCATCAGTCCTGTTCCTTGTGTACCGTGAGCATGCCATCTAAAGAGAAGGCCAGATAATAATTACTATGATAACCAGATGAAAAACTGAGAACACTGTAATGTACCTTAACAGAAATTGTAGGTGCAAAATAGAGTGGTAACACGCAAGAAGGAAGATTTGAATGAGCCCACAGACTGGTCTTGCAGAGGAAATGATGCCAGACTAGGGCTTTGAAGGGTGAACAGGAGCCCTTCGGACACAAGATGTCCGTCCAGGGTTGTCAGCCACCAGGGTCATAGGATCTGTGAGACACACAATTGGCGACCTACCTTAGGGGTTCTTCATAAATACGGAAGTGGCTTCACAGCCCTGACAGTGCTTCTGGCCTTCAGAGTTGACTAGCTGGCCTGGCCTGAAGGAGCCGCTCTGAAGCCCAGAGTCATGCTGTTTGAGGCATTTCTGCCCTGGACTTCCCAGAAATCCAGGACTTAGAACCCTTATTATGGGTTTCCTCCTAGCTAGGCCGTGCTTAGCTCATCGTGACTTTGTAGGAACCGGTATTAATTGAACTCAGTTTTCATACTTTCTATGCTCTTAGTTCCCTGGGGCTCCCCTGCCAAAACAGCTAGTTCATACCCCTGCTTTTATCCTTGGTGATCCCAGAAACAGGAAGTCCCATCTCTTCCTGCTTTCAGGTCCCGAATTGTCTGTTGCAGACTCCCCTCCTTCCACTTCTCCTCACTGAGTCCTTTTCTGGATGGCGGGTGCCTGAAGCCGCCCCACCCCTCGGGTTACTCCCCACTGCCTCTCTGTGCAGTGTGCTGGGCTGCAGTGGGGGTGGCGCCGTGGGGCTAGGCTTTGTTGGCTTGTTTGTTTCTTTCTCTTGAGGGAGGTCAGTCGTGAAAATGACAAGTGTGTCAGCGACACCACATACATTGTCTGTGTTCTGACAATCGCCCATGAGGTGGGTATACCCACACTACAGATGAGAAAAGGAAAGCCCGAGTAGACTGAGTGATTTGCCTGAGGTCACACAGCTAGTCAGTGGCGGCACTGATACCTGACCCTACCAGAGCAAGGATGCTCCAGGGTACAACATGAGCCTCGAGTTCAAGTCCCAATTCCAGAAACTAGACATTCAGCCATAGCTGGGTTCTTGACAGCGCCAGGATCCATCCTCTGCTCTCCGTCCCTACCCCATTGCATCATCATGCGCCCCCATCTGGCTCACCCACATGTTGCCCATCATGTCCCCTGGCTTGGGTCCCTTGCCTTGTCAGAACAAAAGACATGCAAGGTCCCCTCTAATTTGACCCCTACTCCACTTGTCCTGGAATATTATCAGCTCTAACCCGGAAAAGCTGAACGGCGTGCATTCCTCAGCCCTTCGGAAGTGGTGCTGTTGTTCCGGTACACGCGGCCTCCATGTGTGCCCCCATCCCCTCCTCACCGCATCTCAAACCTGGGCCCTCAGGACTCTGCCGAAGCATCACCCGCTTTTGGGACCCTTCCCCGACCCTCTCCTGTGGGGTCTGCGGCACTCACAGCTCATGTCGGCCACTCTAGGGCAGGGTCTTTATCTGGGCACTCCTTCATCCTGGAAAATAAAGCAAGACCTGCTGAAGACACAGTGTGTGTACTTGGTTAGCATTGGCTCAGGGCTGGGGCAGCTCTTCTGTTCCTTTGGGACACACGTAACCTGGGAGAGGAGAGCAGGAGGTCTGTAGTGAGTCTCCACCTGCCACCATGTGTATGCGCACAGGGACAAATGTGGACTTGGTGTGTTTTGTGGGGTGGGGGCAAGGCAGGGACAAGTGAAGGCAAAGCCCAAGTGGAGCGCAGCGCGGGGTCTGCGAGGAGCTAGAGAATTTGAGGACCAAGGAAGCCTGTAGGGTCAGGCCTGGTGAGCTCCGGAGCCATGTTAAGTAAAGACTTGGATTTTATCTTAAGCGCAGTGGGAAGCCATTGACGCCTTCTAAGCAGGGGAGTGACATGATCGCATTTACGTTCAAAAAAGATCACTCTGGCTGCTGTGAGGAAGTGGATTGGGAAGAGGCCCAGGTGCAAGTGTGGAGGCTCTTGCGCTAGTGCAGAGAAGGAGGCAGCTGGGCTGCCGGAAGTGGACACTCAGCAGCTCCTAGGAGGTAAACAGACAGGGCCTGGCGCCTGGGGGGCGGAGGGGAGGGTGGGACTTTTGAGGTGGCTGGCTGGACCACCATCACCCTCCCTCGGTGCCTCAGACCAGGAGGCACAGTGACACTGTGGAAACCCAGTCAGTTCTTCCGAGCTCCTTTGGAAAAGCACCTTGCCCAAGTGTAGGGGAACAATGAACTTGTTACCATTCTCATCAGTGATTCGGAAGTCGAATTGTTAGCCAGGATCCTTAAAAATACCAGATGGGAGAGTAAGCCACGGGAGCAGATGGTATGCAAATGGACCATGTCTAAAAACACGTGACGAGGAACGTTAGACAATACGGAATGGTCGCCAAGTTGGTTGAGACGTGTTCCGTGAGGCTTCACTGCTATAAGCCCACGTCCGTGGAAATGTGACGTGTTGTGTGTCGTCTCAGAAACACCTCATGCCAGCTCATTGTGCAGGGTGTCTTCCCCAGCCCCAAGGACACTGGTGCCCATGCCTGCATCCCACAGGGCTTCCAGTAGCCACGTGTCTGCTTGGAGCGTACGATGGAGGTGAGCAGAGTACCAAGTGTGGTATGTGATTAGAACATTTTTTTTTGTAGGCTTTACCGCCAGCACCTGTTCCGAATCACACAAATAAGCATCAGGTATTCAGTGCGTCTCTTCAGGACCATGTTTACCCGAGCTGTTTTGGGAACACTCCAGAGTGGAATAGTTCTAAATTTATAAGTCTTTGGGGATCAGAAGTGATGAATGATAAGAACTGGAACCCTGGCACTTTCTTGCCAGGTACAATTTCTGGTAAGGAATTTGTTAAAAATTTCTTAAAGTTGTAAAGTAACCCGAGCTGAGTAGACTGCCGCTGTTGTTGTTGTTGTTGTTGGCATCTCCGCCCTAGAACAGTCTAGAGCTGACAGCCGCCTGGCCTGGCCTGGCCTGGCCACCATGTTCCATGGGGTCCCAGGGTCCCCACCACCCCGCTTTGCCCTCAGGCATCTGCCCAGCCTGCCCCCACTGGCTCCCTAGTGTCTGAAAGCACAGCCAGCTGTACTGTTACTAAGGGCCATGTCTCAGGGGTCTCAGTTGGGGTTTTGACATTAACTTGACTCTCGGGTAGTGGTAACAACCAGACCCAAGCCCTGTGCACAGGAGATGATGGGGCGCAGGGCCCCAGACGACTCTAGTTCCTACATCAGCCCTCCCCGGGATCTGTTCCCACCCCTCATCCTAGCTGCCTCACTGCCAAGGCTCAGCTGTCCCTGTACTCTCTCCACCTGGCTGGAGCCCACTGGGCCCAGCTCCAGCCCCTGCACATGCTCAGAACAGCAGCAAGCTGTACCGTGCATCCTGATCTGTGCTTGGGAAGGGTTTCTAGCTCTGTGACCTTGGGCAAGTGGCTTAGCCTCTCTGGGCCTCAGTTCCATCAACTCTGGTAGGAGTATAAGTACCAACCTGAGAAGCTAGTTTTAAGTTAAAAACTCCTGAAACACACCTAGCACGGGAATTGGCACGTAGTAGGTGCTCCATGAAGGTGGGTTTCTTCGATGAAATACCAGTGGACTGGTACCAACCCTGGAACCCTAACGCCCCTCGCAGCCCCATAGGAATGTTTAGTTATCAACATGCCCTGCAACTTTTGGCTAAATGTATTTGCTCTTAGGAGCCTTACTTTTCCTGTTCTTCTCTGAAGGGGGTGATCTACTTGGGCCGACGCTTTCAGAAACAAGACCAGAAGCCCTTCCACCCCCATCCAGCAGCGACACACCTGCAGTCCCAGATAGTAAAGAGAAAAAAAATGCTGCAAAAAAGAAATGCCTGTACAATTTCCAAGATGCTTTTATGGAAGCCAACAAGGTTGTCATGGCAACGTCGTCTGCCACGTCCTCCGTCTCCTGCACGGCCACCACTGTGCAGTCCAGCAACAGCCAGTTCAGAGTGTCGTCCAAGAGGCCGCCTTCCATAGGTGAGGCCACCAGCCGCCAGAGTCCTGGTGATTTGTGCCTGGTTTGCTTCTTTGTTGTTACGGTCTTTAGACTTGTCAGAGGTGTGAATGTAATAAGTGCCCCAAAATCACTCACCTGCAAAGAGGGTGCCGTTTAGGACTCAGGTGGGAATTTTCGCAGAGGGACCTGATTCCTTTGGGGCTTTGTGGTGAAGGGATCTCTTTCCTGTGGTCTCTACCAATTGTTCTGTGGGAAGGAAGATGACTGTAGCATGCTGAAGAAAGGACCTGGAAGGAAGGACCCTTGAGAGAGGAAAGAGGGTGTGCAGGCTGCTCTTTGCAGAAGCTTGCCAACCACTAATGATGTGAGGGATACAAGGGTCCATCAGTTCAGTTCAGAGTTCACAGTTCAGTTCACCTGTGACGTTTAAGCCTCTGGCTATCTGCTAGGGGCGTGCTGGGTCGAGAGCACGGCCTCCACGTGACCAGTCAGCATGCATGAGCAGGCGTAGCCTCACCAACACGGCCCAGCTAACAACAGAGACACACCTGAACCAGTCCAGGTTGTGGGGCAGCCGGCCAGACCCTGGCAAAATGTCAGTGCTGTGAAAGGAGGGAAAAGCGGTCGGCTTAGGGTGAGCAGTAGAGGACACTTGGGGGATTTGGCAGTGGCAGTGCAGAGTGTACGATAGACAGGGACCCTGTGCTGTGGTAAATGTCCCGAGTGTGCTGATGCTACCCCCACTGCACAGAAGAAAAGCTAGTTCTCCCCAGCCCACGCTGAAGTATTTATTACTTCAAAGGCACGTGGAAGAAAGAACTGAAACTGGAGGAGGCTTCAACAAATTCCACTATCTTTTCATTCCATTTTCCCACCAACTTTTTGAAGCCCTTTAGTATTATGTCAAATATTGACAAGTGATGAAGTCAGTTAGTGTGTGCAAGAAGTAATGAAATGGGACCAAGTGTTAACAGTTGGTGGAAGGAGGTGAAGTGTGTATAAGAAACAATGGGGCTATGACCAGGTTTTAGCAGGTGATGATGACAGGTAAAGGACTTTTGGATGCTCAGGGAAGACAAACGTGAACAGCCGATTAGCCTTCTGCTCTTCAGCTGTTGGCAGTGGCTTTTGTGGCATCTTTAACTGCAGGTGAGGTCTTCCATGGTATCAGCAAGGAGGACCCCAGACACTCGGCCCCGGCTGCGCCCAGGAGCAGCCCCACAGGCCTGGCACCGTTGCCTTCTCTCTCGTCCGCTGGGCTCCAGCCGTCTTCTACACCTCACCTGGCAAACCTCGCAACCCCGTCGTTCCCCAAAACTGCAACCCCAGCTCCTGGCTTTGTGGACGCTCGCAAAAGCTTCTGCGCAGCCCCCGTGGCGCCCCCACCCCCCACCACAGATGGCTCCCTCAGCGCACCTCCCAGCGTGTGCAGGTGAAGGCGCGGGCCCCTGTGGGAAGGTGTGCATGGGGTCTGTGGGAGATGGGAGGCAGGCTGCTGCTTACGAGCCCCTTTGCCTCTGCAGTGACCCCGACTGTGAAGGGCACCGCTGCGAAAATGGGGTCTACGACCCCCAGCAGGATGACGGTGACGAGAGTGCGGACGAGGACAGCTGCTCCGAGCACAGCTCCAGCACGTCCACATCCACCAACCAGAAGGAGGGGAAATACTGTGACTGCTGCTACTGCGAGTTCTTCGGGCATGGCGGGGTGAGTGCACGAGGCGCAGCTCAGCGGGCCGTGTGATGTGAGAAAGATTGTGGTGGGACTCAGAGACAGAGCCTAGGCGACTGGAAAAAGACACTGGCGGACTTGTTCTGCACAGAGTGGCCACAGACCTCCCATTTGAGAGGGCCACAGTATCTGCGAAGCTCCGTAAAGTAAGGAATCCCTGTACTTAGGTAGGGTTGAATCTGGTGTTGCAATGTTGTTGTTGAGTTGGTTCCGACTCCTAGCAACTCTGCACACCGTTTCCAAGGAGCAGCCGGTGGGTTTGAACCACCGACCTTGTGGTTCACGTCCAGTGCTTATCCATGAGTGCCATACCAGGAGTCCACGTATAGCAATAGTGTGTGATAAACCGGGTACCAGGTGTGATCTGAAACAGCAGTTCCACCTCTAGGTTGTATTCATCATCAAGAAATAATTCAGTATTTGTGTAAAGACTTAGCTAAGAGGATGTTCATCACTGCATTTGGTCATTTAGTTTTTCAAAATAGTTGATGAGGTTGGGGGTGGGGGGAGAGTACCTGTTAAAAGAAGGGAGGATGGTGCGCGATTGGATGGCTGTTGTCTCCGGTTACCCAGTTTTGTATGTGTCCGCTTTGATTCTCGTTCTTTAAGTATGTTGTTGTTAAGTGCCATCGAATCAGTTCTGACCCATAGTGACCCTTTATAGGGTTGCCGAGGAGCAGCTAGTAGTTCAAAACAACTTTGCAGTCCAGTGCATTACCCCACAGCACCACACCATGACTCTTCTTAAAGTTTGGAGGATACAAAAACACTTCCTGTCCATCCACATTATTTGTAGGTTCTGTATTTATGAATTTACCTGCTCGCTGAAATTTATGTAGAGCCCCCGAATCAATATTTGTTCTTTAAATATGGGAGATACTAAAGAACATACAGACTCCAGATGTGGAGCTGTAGGATCAGTACTGGACTGCAAACCACAAGGTCAGCGGTTCAAGCCCACGAGCTGCTCCTCAGAAACCCTGTGCAGGGTTGCTATGAGTCAGAACTGACATGACAACATGTAAGAACAACAGGTATACAGTCGATCCTCATTATTTGTAAATTCCATATGTTTTAATTTGTCTGCTCACTAAAATTTATGTGTAATCCTCAGTCAGTATTTGTTCTTTAAATCTGGAGGGTACTAAAACACACGCAGTCCATTATCAGTGTTTGTAAATTCCATATTTGTGAATTTACCTGCTCACTAAAATGTGCACAGCCCCCAAATCAATATCGGCTGCCAACCCTTTCATGGCTTTTCTTGGACACGCACAAATTGGCAAGACCTGGAGTTGCTCATCATGCTTGCTCCTTCCCTGCTGAGCTTGGACAAGGCCTGGTGGGTCTTCACCCATTCAGTGTCCACAGCAACTCTGCAGAATGTAAGGACCGTGAATAACAAGAATCGGTTGTATATGATGGGGCTCCCTCCGGAAAGTGTGTGGAAGATTTTGCATTATTCCTTTTTATTTCCTAATTGTATTACCTTCTTTGTGTTTTTTTTTTTTTCAAGCTTTTATTGTGGACTGAATGGTAGTTTACATGGGAGGACGTCAGTTTTGCACTCAACCAATTATATTTTGTTTCGTTGCAGTGATTATTGTCCCTTACATGCACCATTCATTGGTTAACGGTATTTGCCTCTATTCCCTCCCCCCTTTTTTTTTATGTACACAAAAACACATAGGAATATGTAATTGTTTAAACAAACAAACAACACATTTTGTAAGCCAGCCTCCTGACACCAGCACACAGCCTTTCTCTTTCCTGAGGCTAGAGTCCTCAGCTGCTCTTTCTCTCCATGTCTTCATCTCTACCTCCATCTCTGGTGTCACTGCTTCTCTGGCTAGGTAGGGTCCCATGTTTTGCGCATGCTTTTCTCTCTTGATGGTCCTAGGGTCCTCTGTTCCTAAACTGTGAGATTAACTACTCCTTCCTTTTTGTTACACAACATCTGACTTTACAGTTGTGACATTTGCAGTTAATCATGATAATAGTTACTCACTACTGAATCATATGAATCTTATCCCCATCTTTCACTGGACCCATCTAGAAAAGATGAAAGCTATTCAGTGGGGACTCTATCTTCCCCCACATACTCTAAAACTAAATTCCCTCTTGAAACCTTGTAAGCCAGTCACTTTTTGCTTTTATTGTTGTTGTTGTTGTCAGGTGCCATGGAGTCGGAACCGACTCATAGCGACCCCATGCACAGCAGAATGAAACAA